TGAATAAAGTATCACATTGACTTGTGCAGCTCATGTCTCCAGAGTGTTTTGTAATTATGTTTTGTATTTCTCAATCCACACAAATAAGCATTACAATCCCATGCACGTGTATAGTGACGTTTCCTGTCCCAGGGGCTGTAGGGGGCGCTGTATGGCAGTACTTTAACAATTATTCAGGAGATATAATTAAACTAACTTATTAGAAATACATTTGTTGTAATTCAAGTTCGGCCCATCAGATGGGAGTGTTGTCAACATCTCACTCCATAGTAAAATGGTTGTGGCATTCACTTTATAATTTGGGTCTTTAAAAAAAGGTTTTTTGTACATTTTCCTGGCTTATATATACATACAGAGTTGCAGGTTGAAAAATAAGTAAAACAAATAAGTATAATACAAAAACACAAGTATAATTATATGTGTAAATTGTCCTACGAGTCACGGCTGAGGTTGGAATATTAATTCTGAATACATTTGCGTCACACCAAATTATCCATACTAATAAACAACTGCCATACTTATATATACACTTATGTATATAACACAATTCCTCTAATCTAAACTAGTTAGACCTTTTGAATTAAGCCTCAGAAATAACCCTTCGAAATAAATCTGAGAAATAAATGTTAGAAATAAACCTTGGAAATAAACCTTAGAAACAACCCTCAAAAGTGAATGGATTTTTGTCAGAATTCATTCAAACTTCTCCTCCATCCTCTTATCTTTCATTATCATGTTTTATTTGTATAATTCTCTGAATCCAAGAACATTCTGTCCCAAAGTTGGGACCAGAAACTACTGTACGTCAGCACTGCTGCTATAACCTCCGCCCCTGGGTGGCACTTCCTGTCGGGCTCAGAGGAAGATGGTCCTCTGCCTTGCTGGCTCCCATGCAGCGCAAAGGAAATCATTATCCTGTAATTATAGATGGTTAAGAAGAAAATTGGCCATCTCCGTAATCTGTATAATAGCATAATGTGCCACCAGGACTGTAAGCCTAAACAACTGGTGGGGGTAAAGATGTATAAACTTCATGTTTTGTTTGAAAAATCTAAATCAGTGAGGAGGAAAATGTATTAATGTGCCCACTTGTAATGAAACATGTTTTCACCTGTTTGTTTGTTCATGTCTCAGCATCACATCATTTAAAAAAGAAACATCTGGAAGGCATCATGAATCACTGCAGCTCCATGTGGGTGGCATTTCCGAGAGTTCAATTATCTGCATCCTTTTGCCACCCTCTCTCGGCCACAAGAGTTTGTTTAGATTATGTTCAATTTGATCCACTCGTCAAAAAGAAACAGTCTACGAAGCTTCATCAGATCTGTGCAAAGAAATTTGGTGAAGACCGGACGCTTGTTGACTGTGGTTTCTACAAAGAAAAAGCAAAATATCTTAAAATATGATCCTGAGTTGCATTAATCTTCCATATTTTACTACAGTGAACTTTAGTTCATGTTTACACTCATTTAGGGACCATTTCTAAAGTATGATTTAGTTCTTTAATGATCACTTTTATGAGTTCGCACAAGTGGCGTTTTTGATTTAAGTGTTCCCAGCTCTGAGGGAGGTGTGTGTGGGGGGTTGTGGTTGCTCAGCCCCTGCCTCTTTCTGTCCTGGAGCCAATGTTAATTAAGTCTTTTTTTTTATCTCACGTTTCCGGACAAAGATATTGTGCCCTGAAGGGTCCCATTAGTGCCCCTCACTGTGATGTAATCAAGGCCCCTGGTCCTGACTCCTTCCGCTCCATCTGGGGTGCAGGGTGACCTCCCCTGGGCATGAGCCAGAGGGTCCATGTAAACTCAGACCTGGGCCCCAGACTTACTCTGGTGCAATTTGATTCGATTTTTTAAAGAATATGAAACAGACATGACAAAACAACAGTTTAATCCAAACTTTTTATTCACAAATATGTTTGCAAAGACCAGATCCAGGGCATTTTTTCTTTCAACTGGTCTAGTCCTCAGAGGTCGAGGAGTATCCGCCGGCTGTTGGTTGAACGGCATCAAACCAGGCACTTTGTCATCAAGAGAAGGAAACCCCATGTCGGTTAAATCAGTCTTCTCACTGGCGTGTGATGAAGCTGTGGAACTTCCTGTGGCAGCAGAGTGAGATGCTTGTGATTGACGTCATCATCCAGCACAAATCTGGGTACATCCAGTCTGGTTTTTCTATCCTGTGTTATCTTGCACACACATCCTCTCTTCTCTTTCTTCCTCTACCTCCTCACTCACCTTCTGGCTTCCAGGCCCCACATTCCCCCTCGATGTGGAGGACCAATGCCAATGATTATAAAAATAATAATAATGATTTAAAACATTTCTATTCATGAACAAGCTATGAATTAAAACAATGATAACCACTGATAACTAAGGTTAACAGATAAAAGCAAATAACCATGAATATAAAATTTACATCATAGTCACACATTGAAATAAACACATCAAGCATTTAAGGAAAGATATGAATAAAAGCGTTTGTGTTGATGTATTTTTTGGTTGTGAAAGAAAGTAAGAAGATAATTTATCTGGAATGTAATGGCCTTAAATAGAGTCTTATTTTGAAAGTTTCCCCCCCCCCCACTGTGGCTTACTTTATACCTCTCTCACCCCTCACCCCCCTCTCTCCCTGGGTGTCAGCTCAACAGGGAAATTTGAGCAAATGGGTGACGGCAAGGGGAGGGAGAGGGGGAGGGGAGACAGAGCTTACAGCAGTCAGTCACTGGGAGGTGAGGGGGGAGACGCAGCAGAATTACGCACAGCGCACACGTGGAGGAACAAACGGAGCCTCGCTGCTTGATCGACAAACACCGACAAATCATCCAGAAGTCTTTAACAGGAGTCCCCCTCTGCTGCGTGTCTTTCGAGTGAGCAGAGGGAGACACACAACAAGTATGCAGCTCGGAGAGTCCACCAGGTGACTGCCGGAGCAGGACGCACAGGGAGAGACGCGCTTTTTCTGTTTTTCTCCTGACAGAAAACCAGGAGTGTGAGCGCGCACGGGGAGAGAAGGAGGCTCATGGAGAACCTCTGGAGGAGGAGAAGAAGGACGCAGCCGCAGGAGCGCAGATGGAGGTGGCTGAGCAACTCGCTGCTGCTTTGCTTTTTCACCGGTGAGTTTAAAAAAAACCTTTTACGCACCAACATTTCACCAATGTGCCTTTTGAATTGGGTTCCAATGGCACCACTGTATGCTCAGTTAACGATAGGACTGCTCCAGCTCTGGGAAAGTGTTGTGGGAAACCTTTTAAAAGTCTTGATTGTACATGTTTTTGATTTTGGGAACTATTTTAAACATGACGCGCAGCCAAAAGTGCTGGAAACTTCTCATCCCAGTCAAGTCTGTGGTAGAGAGGAGGGGAAGGCTTGGGTGTGTGTGTGTGTGTGTTTTGTTGTCTCTTTAGGACCCTTTTCCAGCATAAACACTTTTTCAGGACCTCAGACCTCCTTTGAACCAAAGCCAGGTCCTAATGAGGCAACATTTACATTTCTGAGGTCCTTGTTAAGGTTAGAGGTCAGATGTGAATTGTGGGTAGGGTAAAGATTATGGTTCGGAATGAATTGGTAATGGAATTAAGGTTGGGGATAAGGTTTTCGTTTGGCTGTCCACAATGAATGAAATTCAATGCATTTGATCATTGACCTTAGGAGTGAGGACATTTTTTGGCTGATCCTCACTTTTGAGGGCTGTGTGATGGTTAAGACCCTTGACAGGGTTTAAAGGGTTACAATTAGGGTTAGGTTGAGGTTTAAGACACTACAAGTTTGTCATGTGAAAAAAAAGTCGAAGAACACTATAAAATAAAACTAATGGAGAATAAAAATGTATAAAGGTAAGTGTGTTCAAAGGGCGGGGGAAAATAAAGGAACTGGTACCAGAGGCACTGGCAGGGTTGGGGTTAAAACAAAAGTGTCCTCACTAAGATAGAAGTACAAGTGTGTGTGGGTTAGGGTTAGTGTGTGTGGTGGGGGGTTAAGGACATGATGCCATTGTCTCCAGGCTTGTGGAGAGACAGGAGCCAGGACCTCTGAGGACCACCCAGCGAGTCTGCTGATGGGACCTCCCTAGTCATTTACATGGAAATCTCACAGCTTTTTAAACAGGGGTGTCGTGTTAAATTAAATACAATTTGAAAAGAAAAGAAGGTGCGTTGACTGTGACCTCCTGTCATTGAGGAAACATCCATCAAATCTTGTTTTGCCCACAGAAAAGCAGGTTTTCCTCGTATACCTTTATTTCCTACTTGGAAATGTGCATATAAGCCTCCAGGCGCTGTGGCTGAAAGAAAGCAGACACACACTCATATGTTGAAGCACAGAGCTTGTTTTCATTGCAGCGTCCTACTTCATTTGAACTGTGCCAGATTGTGAAAAACACAAAATCTCCCATGAGGGAGGCAGGAGGAGGAGGGGGTGAGAAGACTTCAGATGAGACGGGCTCGTGTCGTGCATGGCGGCAGGTTGGGACGAGTACACGGGGAGGCAAAGCTGTGTGTACAATGCTTTTGAATGCAGAAGGGGGGGGGAGCCACATTAAACACAAGCATGTAACAGACCTTGCAAATGCCACGTCTGTTCATAGCAGGAATAAGCACGTCTGCTGGATCATGAGCCGAGGCTGTGCTGCGGTGGTAAATGTCAGATCTTAAATCATCCTAATTTGGCCCTGCGCTAAAAACATGGCAGTCTCACTGGCTCGTTCTAAAAGCTTCCCACTCACACAAGAAAGCATTCAATCACTGAATCACAGTGGTTTTACAGTTTTAAAGCATCAGCTCTCAATGTTTCCTTTGAATCTGTAGTAAACACTGTATCCTACACTACCAACAATGCAACGCGGGTTGGAGTTCAAGATGATTTGGCTTCACGTTTGGGGAGCAGCCATGCCGTCCATCTTTATATAATAGATTTGAGACAGATGCTATAGTTTACTGTCAAGGTACATGTTTGAAAAATTTCAAAAATTGAATTATTTCAAATTGTATTTTTATCTGAAACAGAACCCAACAACACCCAAATATATTATGTTTTTATTCTACCAAACTAAGAGGGTCTTTCATTAGTATTTAATTTTTAAAATGATGAAACATTTCTCCACATCATCTATGATTTCTTCAGCAGGATGTATCTGGATATTTATTCAACTGTCAAAAAGGTGTAAATTATATTGATTATTGATCCATATGATAATGCAATTTAACCATAACTGTTTATGGTTAAATTGCAAGAAAAGTTACAGTTTATAAAATGGGTACCAAAGTTAGTTTATTATGTCATGAAGACTTCCAGAAAGTTTTGTGAGATAGAATTTATCTGAAGTAGCATCAACAGAACCAAACCCATTTTTCACAAATTATATCATCCAACTTTATAGAACAAGTCCAAATGTGGTCCAAACTCATTATCATCTTTATCAGAGGTGCTAAGTTTCCGGGCTGCGTCACAGATCATTCGACGGTCGGACTGAGCCAGTTTGCTGCCCACAGTGTTGGATTCAGCCGCTCAGCCATGTGGGCTGCGTCTCTCCTCAGTCATGGGAAAAATAAATCATGCATGTGCACTGTTGAATCAGTGAGATGCTACATAACCGTCACGTGGCAACGGCTGCTTGTTGCCGTGTAGCATCATATTATATATTATACAGTACGTCAACAATACTTGTGACATGAATTTGAGCAGGGGAGAAAATCCTTTGTGTCTTTTGGAACCTGTTTTCCCTCTTATTCAAACGTACTTAATTGTCCCGATTCGACTGTTTTATTGTTATTGGTTTATCTATTATTGATTTTTAATAATCATCCCAGACATTTATATATTTCCTCATCTGTTCAAATGACCTTCCTGTCTGCCAGAACTCGGGGAGAATTTCTGGTTCCACAAAAAACCTCCGTGCATAAGCAGATTCTTATGAGTGTGTATGGATGTGTGTGTTGCAGGTGGCACCGAGGCCCAGTGTGAGGGCTGTATAGAGTACTGCTGTGATGGATCGCCACCTTTCTGCTGCTCCTACTACGCCTACGTGGGGGACGTCCTCTCGTAAGTCAAGACACAAGTTCAGACCACGCAGTAACAACAGCAAAATACAGCTGTTTATAGACATGAAAAGTTGGACATTGGACAAATTGGACATTTGCGTTCTCTCATACAGCTACTGCAGAATTTTCTCTGTAAATGATAGTATTGTGCTATTTTTGAAAAGCCTTGACGCAGGATTATCTCTGACAAACACAAGTTGCCAACTCGACCAGCGACGGGGTACAACAGGGTCAAACAGCTGAGATTCCAGGCTCACTGCAGAGATCTGTTCCAGACTCGGGCTACAAGAACCTCACTTAAGAGCATTGAAGTATTCTGATGTCAAATGATTTGTGATTTTCTGTTGAAGTAAAAGTCCAACTTGAGCTTTAAGTTTAACAGCTTCCTGTCATCGTCAGCTGTGTGATCTCATCTTTAGCTCATCACACAGGTGACAAATAAAATAGTGACAGACGCAAGGTCTCAGTGCAGCTGCCCACACATTACCAGCCTCGTTTAGGAGAATTTACCTCCATTAAATCTTATTTCATACATTTTCACTCAGCAGAAACAGATCAAGTCATATATGGTGTGATTGGTCATTGGCATTTAACTTTTTTTTTCAGAGGGAGTGTGGTTTTTATCTTTTAAGAAAAATTTGGTAATGCTAGTTTTTGGACAAATTGTGGACACGTTCAATAGATTGATCTGCACGCACCTGTAGGTTTGGTCTATAACACACACACCAGCTGTCTTTTACTGTGACTCTTCAGAAGACCTGACCCTCTGACCTCTTCCTGACATGATTCAGCCCAGATGCTTTCACCTTTTTCTCAATGGAAAAGTTGTCACAGTAATAAGGGCCTTTGTGTATTTCTACACATTTACACTGATGTTATTATTGCAAATTGTTGGACCACTTGCCAAAAGTTGGTTTTGAAAAGGATCTGACTAATGCAGACAAACAAGACGCAACAAATCTGTTCATCATGCATGTTCTTCTGTGGTGCAACGCCACACACACATCACACAGTGAGTTGCATCAGATGTTGCATTTCATGTCCATGGCAGCAACTTATAAGTATCGGCAGCATGTCTGATGGAGACAGCTGCCTCATCTCACACTTGACTGGGTGGCTCACTGTGTGTGTGTGTGTGTGTGTGTGTGTGTGTGTGTGTGTGTATGTGTGTGTTCTAGGGGCACTGCCATCTCTGGTATCGTCTTCGGCGTGGTGTTCTTGATGGGGGCAGTGGCGGCCTTGTTCCTGTGCGTGTGTATGTGCATGAAGAACGGGCGGGGCGCGAGGGTTGGCGTGTTCAGCACCTCCTACATCAACACCGTGACCCAGGGCTATCCAGGTGGGTCACCAATGTGCACACACACACACACACACATGCTTCAAATAGTACAACTTTATGGTTCCTATTTGTTTTACACTTTCACATTTTTATTTCTGATATCTTGCACATCAATCAGTTATTTATTAATGATCATAAAGACTTTGGTGAAAATATATATTCACTCTTTAAAGTGTGACTCATTGGAAAGTAGTGCCAGCAGCGACACAGATGTTTCAGTTTGACCAATTATTTGTATCTGATCTATAAATCTACACAGTTTGACTTAGAAACTTATTTAACAGTGGCTTCATGGGGACTGAAGACATATCACGTTACACAAACCTCAGGCTGCCAGAAATTGAAAGAAAAGAACTGATTCATCAGACAGGAAGGAGAAGACAGAATAGGTGTACGGTGTCCACCTTGGCCTTGAGCATCCTCACAGTAATACTGTGAGAGGGCTGATTGTTTTCAGAATATTAAGGCGTCACCTCATTGCCATTGCAACTTGAGCTCTGTTCATGACCCACCACCTCCTACTTTAGCACATCCTCCTCTTCTCTCTAGCAAACCACAACACTGTTCATTTATTTCCCTCTCAGGTGCTTCGTCTGCACATCAGCGTTTGTACTCTGTGACTCTCTCCAGCCCCCGGAATACTGTTTGTCTTTTTTCTTTCTGGCTCTCATCATTTATTTATTGCGTTTCATTCTCCTCAGTGTATCGTGCTACACTGGACCGCCACTCTCCGCTCTGCCCTGCAGCTCTGCTCATGTTGCATAAACATGTGGGAACATACAGAGCATTGCAGTGTGTGCAGCTACAGTGATATGAATTATTCTGTAACCTGACATCAGACATGAGGGGCTGGTGTGCAGTTATTTTCCTGCTCCATCGCTGCTACGACAGCTTCATCTGTATTTCTGTATGATTTAAATAGATTTCTTTAGTAGTGTGTACATTGTTTATTAGTTTTATTTAAGTATCTGTGACTTTTAATGATAAAAAAAATATAAATTGAAATTGCATTTTCTTGGAAAATATCTCATTTTAGCTTCACAACAGTGTCACATCGACTCTTGAAATGTTAAAACAAAGCTTCTCCTTTTAAAATAGTCAGACTGTGAGTTGTTATTAATAATAGATGTAAATATAATGTGAGTTTTCGCTGATGAAATGTTTGAAGCGACTTCGCTCCTCATTTTCTTCATCTCTGCTTCTTTGATATCTCTGTGAATAATGCAAATCGTCCTGGTGACGCAGATGCTTTGTGGTCGACTGAATGTCTCCTAGGTGCCGTATTGTTTGACCCCCTTTTTAATGTTAGTGATTTCAAGTCCCTGCCCCTAGAGAGTGCAGTTCCACTGTTCAACCATTAGAGGGTGTAACTTTACTATCAAACTCCTTTATGAAATGGGGGCAAGTATCCTGAGCTTAAATGGGCCTCATTCCCTCTTTAAACGCAGCAAAGAGCATGTGAGCGTTGTGATTATGGCAAGAATAAATACTTGTGACCTAAATTTTGTGTTTCTCCCCTCTCACAAACTCAGGTCCTCCACCTCCATACCCCTATGACTACGAGATGTACCCTCCCTCGCTGCACCCACCGCCTTACACCCCTACTCAGCCTCGGCCGTCCAATTACTCCCCCCCTCCTCCATACCCCGGTTGCACGCGCAAGTAAATCCACCCACTGCAAAGATCGTCCACGGGAGCAGCTGAAGAGAAACTCCGGTGGCCTGGTTTTCCGAGACCTGAAGATGTAGGCACCTCTGGCCTCTAAAGATAATTCTAAAGGGGCCTATTAAAACAAAAAAAGGGAGGCCCAGTGCAATTTTGTTCAGCAGGAGTCTGGACCAAATGGTGGGGAGGGGGGATAAATAATAATTTCACAAGCTGTGGGTCAGGATGCTCAAAGAAGGCTCCGACATGTGCAGGTCCTGATAACCGTTAGCAGCCCTGCTCGCTGGCGGCTGGTACTTTTTTCCTCCCCTCCTGCTAATAACCAATATCCTTATCCGTCCCGCCTGTGCACATCAAAGGCACTGTGGCGCTTTGATGAAGGTGAAGACCACTTTTTGTCGGCGTGGATGGGGAAGCTCACATCACAGGAGTACAGCGGTCTTTCCAGGAGACAATGCAGTTTTAAAAAAAAACTTTTTCATATCTTATTCATATCAGTGACTGAGATGGAAGCTGATGATTAAAGCTGTGTTAAACAAGTCTGGTCTGGACTTGAACATAATGCACAATAACACTGACCTTACAGGCACAGACATGGGTTACTATCTTACTTGAAACAATGGGTAAACTGGGGTCAGATTGTTACTGAGTTTGAGCCAAGAATGGAATGTCTTAAAAGAAAGTGAAAAAACATATACATTTTTTTGCTTTTGCAGGACTTGAGAAACTTGTGAAGTCTTCATTTGAGATGCAGTCGTAGGGTAATTGTGACATTTCGTAAGAGAGAAGCTGCTCGCAGACATGCACTGAGCTCCTTTATCCGGGGGGGCTGCATTTGTGAAGGTCCGAGTGGGAGCCTCCGGACTTTCTGCAGACTTTCTCATGCGTTTGAGTAGTGGGGGACTGTGAATGATGGACTTTTGAATCACGTGTCAATTAAAATGATTTTGTGTTGCAAGCTGTGTTGTAAATTAAAGATGCGAATAAAGTGTGACTCTTTTTGAAAGCATGAACCTGTACAGTCTTTATTTAACAATGTGGACTGAAACAAACATTTGACAAAAGTACTTGTTTGTTGGTAACGCAGTTATTAATTCAAATTAAAGTGATCGTTTGTGTTTATATAACTTGTTGGTTTTTAATTCGAAAAATAAAACTTAATGTGTGTTATTTTAAAAGAATGATTAAATATATATTACTATTACATCAAATTTTTAAGAAATATTGTTGATTAAACTTACAAATTGTAAGTGTGTGTGTACGTGTCTGTTTGTGTTATATATGTGTGTGTCTCTTTGTCTGTGTGTGTGTGTGTGTGTGTGTGTGTGTGTAGTCAGGTGACCCGGCTCTCAGCAGCTGTACAGCCTCTCTCTCTCTCTCTCTCTCTCTCTCTCTCCATCATCAGACATCGTGAGTCTCCGGCGTCGAACACACTCCGCTCCTCCGCCCCGACTCTAACGTTACACGCTGCCCGCAGGAGCGCCGTGTCCGCGGAACAACATGTGGGACCGAGTAGCTGTGCTGCTGCTGACCGTGGCGGCCTCGGCTTCGGCTGCCGAGGTAAGAAAACACCGCGTCTGTGTGGCTGTGGCACGATTTGCACCGTTTTCTACCATATTGTTGCTGTCAGCCTGCGAAGCTAGCTACAGTTAGCTGCTACTGCACCGGAAGCGGAGCGGCTGTCCCTTCAGAACTCAGGCACAGAATGTGTTTTAGTGTGAGATATTTAAGAACCTCGGCTGTAAATATCATATAAAATCCTTATTAAATTATACTAAAGAAATAATACGAACTTAACATGACGGTTGTTGTGATTATTTTATTGGTTTGTGTGAATTTGAAATGCAGCAAATCCAGTCAAATAACGATGAAAATATCGAAATGACTCATGTGTTAGCGAAATTAGATATGTATGCTAATGATGACAGGTTTTGTCTTCCACGTGTGAAGGCATTTAGTGGATTGGAATAGAAAATACGCCTTTTTGTGTCCTTGTCGTTTTATTTTGAAGGATTTAAGCGGAAGTGTGAGTGATTGGCACTGATTGTGAACACGGGAGAAAATAAACGCTTTATTTGCACGATATTGCGTAAGAAGTGTATTCTGTTCTTATATTTATATAGTAGCTCTATACGCAATTTATCCCGGGATGAGGATAAATAACGCGTATTTTAATCCGAATACGCAGTTTCTTGTTCTCCGACCTCGTCTCCGTTTAAAAGCCTGTAGCTGCTGATTTATCGACACTATGCAACAATAGAAGCAAAGTCCGACTCCATTTTTTTAAATGTGTGGCTACAATATATTATTCTTTCTTTGCGTTAAAAACAAAAGTCGCTTTTCTCTCGTTTAAAAATGTTACAAACAAGTTCGGCTTGTCAACAAATGGCGAGAAAACGCTGCTTAAATGTTAACGCCACTGTTGTTGTTGTTGTTGCTGATGTTATTGGTGTTGTGATCGTGTTGATGTCGTGTTGTTGAATTAAAGACAATATTGGGTTATTTTCCATATCCCGAGGGCTCGATTTAAGGGAGTGGGCGTGTTTTTCTTTATTTGGGAACGATAATAAATCTGTTCACTCGTAATGACGCCATGTTCTGTTATAAGCGAAATAAAATGGAAATAAAACGACCCCATCCACTTGAAACGAGGATTATTATGGACGCTCTCCCACATATTTCAGTCAGATGGGAGAGAATGGAGAAGTAAGATGGCGGCGGTGCACTGCAGCATTTAGACAGGGTCGTGGAAAACCTGGAGCTTTGACTCTCATTGTTTCCTTCTGTGCTCCTTCCTCATCCATCTTATATTCCAGAGTCACACCAGTCGCGTTTTAAATGTCAGATATGCTTTAATAATGTCTCGACAGTGGCTCTACTCTCTTATAATCACAGCTCATCCATTTTTAAGGCTCTTGTGTGGCTTTGTGAACATGCACTGCAAAAAAATCTGTATTTTTCAACATGGCTTTTATTTGATCTTGTCCCACATGTGAAAATTCCCACTCCTGTATTCAATTTCAGCCTTTTTTCAGCGACATCTCTTAAAAATGTCACGTCATCCTTATTATCATTATATAATTTTATTAATTCTGTGATCTATTAAGCTTTAGGGCCAGTCCCAATTCACCCCTCAGCCCTACCACTTGGCCTTTACCCTTCATTTTGCACTTAGCGGTGAAGCGTTGTCCCTTTTCTCTATGTCATGTTGGGGTCGTGGCCATCTAGCCCTTCAAACATGTCATCGACCGCAGTGTATTCAGAACCCCCCCTAAACAGGAAGTGGTAGATGGAAATCCCTGAATACTTCACGAACGGACGAAGTGAATCGACATGGCGTCCTCTTTGCTTTAGCTCTCGTTTGAATCATAGGAGTTTCACTGTAGTTGGATATTATTTACAGTGTTGGGAGATGGATTACACATTCTTGTGACCACCATTAGCCACATTGTTTCAGAGTAGGACCTATGATAGTGTCTTTATGATCTCTTGTTGAATAGATTATAGCTTAAAGGTGTTTTATATAACAGAAAAATACTGCCAAACTGTGGTAATTATACTCCGTTTAGGCCTCTTGCTTTTATTTTTCCTTCAGTAAGATGTAGCAGGTGAAATGTGGGGGGAGCTGACCTTCATTTTTTCATGCTCGCAGTCTATAATCAGTTCAGTCGTAATGAACAGTTTGGGCTACTCATCAAGCAAACCGCATGCTTTGTTCGCAATCTGCTGCTTACTTTGCTTAAGTCAATCTTTACCCTTTGAGTCCTGCATCTACATTATCAGAAGATCGAGTGATGAAATTCAGCAGAAGAAGTAGTTCAAATCTGAGGGATAATATTGACAAGATTAAATCAGACTTGAAAATGAGATGTTCAAGTTTTTGATCTTGTTGGGGCTTGTTTATAGCCGTCATTATCGCCCCATGCAAACACACACGCACACTCTTCTAAACACACAACTCGGGGAAGCTGCTTTTCCTGATGGGCCCGCCCTTGTACACGCAGGCCGTGGTGTGGAGCGTGGGAGTTGGATGCCAGCCTTTGTCTGTTTGTAAATCCTTGGGAAATGGCCCTTGGATGGGTGCAAGCAGTCTGTTTGTGTGCATACTGCAGTTTTTCAGCCTGGGGCGGACCAGCCTTCTCCCCTTATTAGCAAGCCTTAATGCCATTATGCCTGTTGGCACTGCCAGTGTTTGTCTCTCTCTGGCACCTTCTCTGCTGCTCACGCCGCAGTTCAGATTAATCGAAGGAGAACCCTGACAGTCGTATATCTCCGCTTGCTTTTTATTGCATTTTCTTTCACCAGCCTCACTTTTACTTTGGCTTCACTTTGTCATTTGGTGTAATGCCTCTCAAAAACCTCTGCAGACAGACTGAACTTTGTGCATAACCCCTGCTTAAGTGATTAGTCGATTGATGATTAGTAGCTCAACAGAGAATCACAGGCAATTATTTTACTGTTATAAAAGACAAAAATCTGTTATTCTAGGTTCTACCATCTCAATATTTACTAGTTTCTTAGATAGTAAATTGATAACTTTGGATTCTGGGCAGTTGGTTTGACAAAATAAGACATTCTCCTTTGGTGTCTTGGAATATGTGATGGAAACTTTCAATAGAGCAAATTATTTCTCAGTTAATTGAAAAAATAATTGGTGAATTAATCTATACAGAAAATTGTCATAAATTGGTCAGTTGACCAAAAGACTTGAACATGAAAAACGGACAAATATGCTGGTTTCAGAATGAAACGTAATATTTTTTTCTTATAGATTATAGGGACATTTTCAAATAATTAATCCTTTACTTGGAAATAGAATAAATTATATAATTAATAATAAAAGGCACCAGCCTGACTGTCATGTTAGTCTGTCCTGCTCTCTCTGTGCCTGTCTCCTGTTAAACACTGAATATTGTCATGTTTCAGGACAGGATGTCCTCTTCATAATGATTTGTATTTAATCCCTCATGTCCAACTGTGTTGCAAAGATTGCCTATAAAAATTCCTCGTCTAAACAGCACACATTGTCCATCCTGGTTGTGTCAACAACAACAATGACACTGCAGCGCCCCCAATTAATGTCCCCCCTGCATCCCCCTCTGTCTGTCCTGGAGAAAAGAATTCCTGACCTTTTGATACTGTTGTTTCTATTGTACTGGTGCCTGGAAATGGGAGGACGCTGATGTGCTTGCTGTGTTTTGGAGCGGCCTGTCTATCCCTTGTCTGTCCAACTGACGTGGTGTGAATCAGCTGTTTATGAACAGTTTAAAATTTTATTCTTTCACTCTTCTTTGCATCTTAACTTTTTGTCCGTTTTGTCGTTATCCTCACAGTCCCAAGCCTTCGTTGTGTGTTCATGTTTTCCCACTGGATGGTGGTTTTCATTGCATCGTAGGAATCTGGTCGGACTGATTCCAGAGGTAAAATACCAGTGTGGAGCTCAAAGGCCTTCTTTGTGCAGTGCAACCTGCCTTCTGAATGAAACACTGTGAATATATGAAGGAACAAAGGCTTTAATAGATCCAACAAGCATCTCATAGTATCAGAAGAAATTTGTTGACAGAAAGGTTATGGATGGAGATGTCGCTGAACTTTCCCACTCAACTGGGTTTGTACAGTTGTATTCTCCTACATGAAAACATTTTACATGTAAACAATTGAGAAAATTCATTCTATTGATTCAAAGTCCTTGTATTTGGTTGTTTTTGAGTCTTCTTTTTGTTATTTGTAGTAAATTTTATGCTTAAATGGTAAAATATGAAACGATTATATTTCCTTGTCATTTGATTACCTCTTAGGAATCATTGACAATTCTTAAAAACATACATACATATTGGTATTTGAAATATTTTACTCCCTAATATTAGTATCTACATTACTCTCAATAAATCCATATGGTCAGGCTCTACTTGATGTCATCAGTATAGGGCCATCTTTATTGAGAACATGTGGGGGGTTGTTAAGTCAATCTTCCAGTTCAAAACCCTCCTCTTCATCTTGCTCACCTCCTTCTCTTTATGACTGACTAATAATTGGCAGTAATAGAGCAGACGTGGAATCGCAACACCAGCTTTATTACCTGCTCGTCTTCAAGGAACACAACATTCTCCCTCCCACTCCTCACATTAAAGTGACTCTCCCACCTGGCAGCACCATTCATCACCACGCGCTCTTATTTCCGTCGGTAAATATCAGCAGTGCACCACCGAAGACGCGCCCCTCAAGTCACCGCTGCTGAGTAAGCAGGCGTTGATACAGAATCTGAATAATAAGCCGGGAAACAAGTCGCCCTGACCCACGCAAATTACATCCAGCTTTTACTTCATCAGTGAGGAAGCTCCTCACACACATTAGCACAAAACCTCCATCTGAAGCATGTTCCTGCTGTGGATTAGCAAGGCATCAATGCTGCAGTGCTTTTTTGGCACATCTACATTATAAGTAGGCTAACACAATCAAGTTTTAATCATGGAATTGCTTTTTAGTGTACCATGAATGAGTTGGCCCATCAGTGTCTCGAGAAACACCGGCACACCTCTAAGGTCTCTCAGCTTTGTGCC